ATTTGTAAGAAAAGGATTATTTAGTGATGATAGCGATGAAGAAGAATCTAAGAGTCCTTTCGAAAAGCACGAGGTAAGTTTACGTTACATATTCATCTATAATGTGTGTTTGTGCTCATATGTTACTTTAATTTTAACTATGATTTGTAGGTCATGAAAGTGGAGGGTCTAGAAGGATTCACCAAAAATCTTCAAAATCCAGTTGAAGACTTGTATTATGTTGTTACTAAAGAGAAGGCTGGGGACAAGAATTGGGACAAGTAAGACGTTTTTTAGTACGTGTGGTCGACCGGATCGGTTATGAGGTCGACCGCTTTTCCAATAAGGCCGACCGTGACTGTGAACAGGTCGACCTGTACGTTGCAAATCACAATTGACATTTCTGTTATTTTGATTTTTGCAGTTTGACCGTTGTGGACTTTTTTTCTGAAAACGTGCAACGACATTATTTGAGTTCGGTCATTAGCGAGAATAGCTGGGTTTTCATCAGTAAGTACTATACTACTACGACTTTCGTATGAATTGTGCACTATTTATGTTACGATTTACGATGATTTTGTGTTTGATTGTTGGATGGTAGGTAGTGGATTTGTGTGCAAGGGCACTAACAATGTCTGAAAAACATGATGTGAAAGAGCCAAATGTGTGGTATTTGCCAAATATGTTTTCGGTAAGAGCCGTAATGTCAAATTATTTGTCATAACCTAGTTATTTATATTGTACCATGTCAATTCATCTCAACTAAAACATGCTGCAGAAAATGGTACGCGGTAACATGTAGACCAGACAAATTCGTAACAAGTTGATGAATGATGGCGTGGTCTTTATGCCGAATGTCGGTGCATGCCAGAAGGTTAGTCTAGTCAATGTCACTATATCATTAAATTTCGAAAGTGCATTTGTTTGTATTCGCTGTTTATAATATATAGTGAGTGTTTCGTTGCTAGATATTTATGCCAGTTCTTGACGATGAAGCACGTCATTGGTTTCTGTATCTCGTCAATGTCCAGCAAAAAACTGCATTTTTGCTTGACAGTCTACCTTCAACTAGTGAGGCGAATCGTAGGCGTAAATCAGCACTATGCAAGAAATTGGTAAGTGTTTTCTATAATTTTCTGACTGTTAAGCGTCACGTATGATGCGAGAAACTTAAAATATTCATTATTTGTGTGTAGTTGTCCAATTTGGATGATATTTTCAAACCGGAGCGCATGAGCAATGTAGGAGTACCAAATTTTGGAGATTTCAATTTTGATGAGCTACGAGTTCAACGGCAAAGGAATAGTACTGAGTGTGGTGTGCACGTCATGCAGTGGATGCGCTATGGATCCAAGGATCTTGATAGAGTGGTGAGTATATCGTCAAACAAATAACTTGTTTAATTTACACTTTTTTTAGTTGTAACGAAATCTTACATGGCATAATGCAGATAGGAGAAGAACACAAATTACCGGCGCGAAAGGAGATTCTATGGTATCTGGCTACACATTTTGAAAACCTTGCACGAGAAAATCTTTTCAAGCATGTAGTAGATGAATGCATGGAACGAGGCAAAGAGAGACAGGGTTCAAACAAAAAAGCAAAGAAATGAAGTCGTTAAGTTACAATGTTGCATTATTTGGACCATACATTGAATTTGTATTTGCGAGATCGTTTCATTTTGGATTTTGAATGTTTATCGTTTATTAGATTTGTTATACAATTATGGATGTGACTGAATTTACGATTTCAATCGTCTAGAACAAGTGGTCGACCACATACTCAAAGCGTGCATACCCAAAGGTAGAGCACAGGTCGACCTCGTGACGCAAAAGGTCGACCTATGATACCGTAGCAAAGTCAAAAACCATGTAGAACATGGATGGAATCTCGTCAGTTTGGCCTTAATAAAATACGGTCGACCATTCTTGTTAAGAGGTCGACCTGTTTCACATTTATAAACAATGGTCGACCATTTCAGTAAAGAGGTCGACATGTTTCACATTTACCCAACACGGTCGACCATTTGTGCAAAGAGGCCGACCTTAATGAATCATGTCCTTGTACAATTAGGATTTTGTGTACGTGTCCTTGTCGAATTATGATTTTATATATCTTTCACCAATTGGATAAGGAATTCGTCTACATTATCTATAAATAGATGGGAGTCTGAAGACTTTAATCGTACTTCGATTTATGCAATTTGTTGGAGTGAAGTTGTAATATCATCGCTCTTATTGTGATCCGGTGTTGGTGGCGGTTTATTTTTATTCCGGTAGACCGTAACAATAAGTGGTCGACCTCTTTGCTAAGGTATGTCTCGTATGTGCTTGTTAATGCTTGTATGTGGTTAAATTTTTCCTACCATCCGGTCGACCACCTTCACCATCCGGTCGACCATGCTTTTGTAATTATATGATTAGGTCGACCTTGCAGTAAATTCTGGTCGATCGCATGTTTGTTATTTAGTAATAAGGTCGACCGTACAGTTTATTCAGGTCGACCTGACGAGCGCTAATTGTGTATGTTTTTGACATTAAGTTCGTATTCTGATCGTTTCAGGATGGATAACAGAGATGATACAGATGATAGAGATGATGATGAGGTTAACTTCGATGAGGAACCTAAGGATGCTCAAGAAGGAGCTATGGATAATTTAGATGATACAGATAATACAGATGATGAAGTGGTTGGGGATGATAATGAAATCGAGGGTGCTGAAGAAGAATTTATGGATGATGAAGAAGCTACTGAATATGAACAACAAATTCCTTCCATGGAGTTCCAAACATTAGAAGATGCAGAGAAATTTTACGATTCCTATGCTAAAGCGAAAGGATTTAGCGTTCGACGTAGAGATCTTCGGAGGAATCGTCGAGGAGTAGCAATTGGGAGGACAATGGTATGTTCGAGAGAGGGGACTAGAGATGAGATGCATATAGATAAAGAAGGTCGGACTCGACAACATCGTAAGATGACAAGACATTATTGCAAGGCATCGTATACTGTACGCTTTGATCGGAATAAGAAAATGTGGGTTGTTTCTAAGTTTGAGAGGAAGCACTCACATCGTTGCTACAATGAAGAAGAAAGTCAATTCCTTCGGTCTCATCGAAATGTGAGTGAAGGAGACAAGGCTCTGGCGATAGGGATGCGACAGTCAGGAATAAAACAACGCAACATTGTTCAGTTCATGAAGAATAAAGTTGGAGGATATGAGAATCTGGGGTACACTCCAAAGGATTTGGACAATGATGTTCAGCAATCCCGAACAGTTGACGACGATCTAATAGGAGATGTTAACCGAACATTGGGTTACTTGCAAAGTAAACATACCTCTGATGCAGGCAGCTTCTTCAAGTACACAACCAACGATGAAGGTGAATTAGGCAATCTCTTCTGGTCGGACTCCACATCTAGAGCAGATTACCATTTTTTTGGGGATGTCTTGGCGTTCGATGCATGCTACAAGCGCAACAGGTACAATCGACCATTTGTTATGATGGTTGGTGTAAATCACCACCACCGTAACATCATATATGGTTTTGCCCAGTTGGATAACGAGACAATCCCCAACTATGTTTGGTTGTTGAATACTTTTCTGGAGTGTATGAACTCTAAGATGCCCACTTCAGTGATCACAGACGGAGACAAGTCTATGCGTGGTGCCATTGCTACTGTTCTGGTTGGAGTGCCTCACCGTCTTTGTATTTGGCATATTGAGACAAATGCGACAACGGCTGTTCATAATAAGGAGTTTGTTAGCGCATTCACTTACTTGGCGAAAGCACGAATATCGATTGAGGAGTTTGAGAGGCGTTGGGAGCATTTGATTAATCAGCATGGTTTGTCTGCAAATAAGTGGTTGCAGGATTTGTACGCTGACAAATTACTGTGGGCAGAGGCATACTTGAAGGATATTTATTTCGGTGGACTCCAATCAACCTCGCGATGTGAGTCATGTAACCATTGGATAAATGGGTATGTGGGAACTCAATACAGCTTGCAACGTTTTGTTCAGGGCATTGATGAAGCACTGGAGGGGATGCGTTTCACGGAGGTGCAGGATGATTATACTTCTAGGCACACGAGGTTGGTCTGCAAGCATGCCCTTCGCACTTGGGAAATGCAAGCTGAAAGTATCTACACTCATCGTACATTTGCTATCTTCAAGTCTGAACTAGAGAATGAGGCTTCTTATGTATTAGCGGAGAGAAGAACTGAATCAGATGGGACAGAGACATTCATACTGAAGAACTACATGAACCCAGATCGGATAAGGCGGTTAACATTTACTACGTCCAATCAAGATCTAAAATGCGAGTGTGCATTATTTGAATCTAAGGGGTTTCCATGCAGACACATGCTTACAGTAATAAAAAATATGGGGTACACCGCACTACCCTCGTCGTGGTTTAATCTACGATGGACCCAAAATGCGAAGACACTAAATCGTCATCATGGAGTTGGAGATGATGTGGGAGAGAAAGTTGGTCGACTGATAAGACATGGAGGATTGGCTCTAAAGTGTAAGCGTTTATGTGACATCGCGTGTGGTAGTGAATCTGCTTTTAATCATGTCTCTAAGACGTTGGACGACCTTACTCAATGGGCAATTGAGTTCGCGAGGGAGAGAACGGACAGCACCCCTTCGAAGTGTGAAAGATCCAAAAATTGGGAAGACCAAGGGGACATTCAAGTCAGCACAAACTGCATCGGGTAAAAGTTTAAGAAAGTGTTCGAAATGTGGGAAATATGGTCATTTTCGCCCTAAGTGCCCGAAACAAAGTCCCAAAAAAGGATCTTAAATTTCTTCTATTGTTGTTTAGGAGTTTATTTATATTTTAATAACTGTGATTGCATTGTAATTTCTTCGAATTATCTTAATAATTTATGAGTTAATTGATTTTGGTTGAAATAAACAAGGGGCTTGCTATTTGCCGCCAACCAAATTGCTATTTGCCGCCAACCAAAAAAAAAAGTATATATATTGAATTTGGTTAAGGAGTTTCACACCCTAGTGTCATTATGAACTTATGGATTTCATTATGGATTTCGAGCGAGTTCGGGGTCGATTGGACGAAGATCGGGCGCGAGGCAAGTCAAAAAGAAAGCCACACGGGCACACACACAACCCACACGGCCGTGTGATGTTGCAATTTGGCCGTGTGGAATTATGTGAGGCCTCACACGGCCAGGCTGGGTGAGCTACACGGCCAGGCTGGCGGCAAATAGCAATAAAACGGTCGACCTCATACAAATAACGGTCGACCTGAACATACACGGTCGACCGAACATGTTAGTGAGGTCGACCGCGTATTTAATTCGGCCGACCAAACCGGTTTGTTTGCAACATCCACCCAAACCTCCCCCAATCCTCTATTTAAGAAACCCTCCCCCACTCATTCTACACCACAATCAGAACCCTATCCCACCACATCCACTCATTCTTCCTCTCCTTTCCCTTCTTCATCTTCTTCTCCATTTTCCAAAAACTCCATTTTCCAAAAACTCAAAGAAAGCTTCATCCTCATCACTTAGAAGAAGAACAAGGTATAGCTTTCACTCCTGTCTTTCATTTGAGTCGATTCTTGTCTTCTTCTTCCTGTTTTCAAAAAATCTAAAGATGTAAAAGAGGGATTTTTCCTTCTGTTCGTCAGAAGCGGTCGACCTGTTCATCATTGTGGTCGACCGCGTCTGGCCTTAAATCGATTTTTATTTCTGTTTTATGGACTGAGGTCGACCTATGAAGATATTGAGGTCGACCGGTGAAGTTTGAGTTGAGATTTCTGTCCTTATTATTTAGATCTGTAGCTTGAAAATATGGACTTTGTCCTTCTGTTCGCCAGATGCGGTCGACCTTTTCATAATCATGGTCGACCGCATCTGGCCTTAAATCGATTTTTATTTCTGTTTTATGGACTGAGGTCGACCTATGATGATATTGAGGTCGACCTGTGAAGTTCGAGTTGAGATTTCTGCCCTTATTATTCAAGCGATCTTATTTCTGTTTTTTTTGTGCGAAACTAACACAGGTCGACCGCTTCTATTTATGAGGTCGACCGAATCTGTTTTGCACTCAATTGATACGAGCATTTGGGCCATTTCTTTTCGTTTTAATTTAGCCGAGGTCGACCTGTGATGCTTCTGAGGTCGACCTATGAAGGCAAAAGTTCGAGTTGTGCCTTTGTCTTTGAATTATGTGTGCAAAACTAACACTGATCGACCTCTTCTATTTATGAGGTCGACCGAATTTGTTTTGCACTCAATTGATACGAGCATTTGGGCCATTTCTTTTCGTTTTAATTTAGCCGAGGTCGACCTGTGATGATTCTGAGGTCGACCTATGAAGGCAAAAGTTCGAGTTGTGCCTTTGTCTTTGAATTATGTGTGCAAAACTAACACTGGTCAACCTCTTCTATTTATGAGGTCGACCGAATTTGTTTTGCACTCAATTGATACGAGCATTTGGGCCATTTCTTTTCGTTTTAATTTAGCCGAGGTCGACCTGTGATGATTCTGAGGTCGACCTATGAAGGCAAAAGTTCGATTTATTTGTGCTAAACTTATTGAGGTCGACCTGTGATGATATTGAGGTCGACCTCGGGCCATTTAAATCGATTGAAAGGCAATTGTGACTTTCAAAAGCCGCGCAGTGCAGGAGATTAGGCCATCTTGCAATGCACTCGAAGACATAAACGATTGTGTCTTCGAGTGCATTACAAGGTGGTCTAATGTCCTGAACTGCACGGCTTTTGAAAGCACAATTGGCTTTCAATCGATTTAAATTTTCCGAGGTCGATTTATGTTTTTTCTGAGGTCGACCGGATCTGTTTTGCACTCAATTGGTATGAGGATTTGGCCCATTTTAGACTCGTTTCAATTTAGCCGAGGTCGACCTATGATGCTTCTGAGGTCGACCGATGAAGGCAAAAGTTTGAGTTGTGCACTTGTCTTTGAATTATTTGTGCGAAACTAACACTGGTCGACCTCTTCTAATTATGAGGTCGACCGGATCTGTTTTGCACTCAATTGGTACGAGGATTTGGCCCATTTTAGACTCGTTTCAATTTAGCCGAGGTCGACCTATGATGCTTCTGAGGTCGACCGATGAAGGCAAAAGTTTGAGTTGTGCACTTGTCTTTGAATTATTTGTGCGAAACTAACACTGGTCGACCTCTTCTAATTATGAGGTCGACCGGATCTGTTTTGCACTCAGTTGGTACGAGGATTTGGGCCATTTTAGGCTCGTTTCAATTAAGCCGAGGTCGACCTATGATGCTTCTGAGGTCGACCTATGAAGGCAAAAGTTCGAGTTGTGCCTTTGTCTTTGAATTATGTGTGCGAAACTAACGCTGGTCGACCTCTTCTAATTATGAGGTCGACCGGATCTGTTTTGCACTCAATTGGTACGAGGATTTGGGCCATTTTAGACTCGTTTCAATTAAGCCGAGGTCGACCTATGATGCTTCTGAGGTCGACCGATGAAGGCAAAAATTCGTGTATGTCAACCCATTCCCATTTTAAATTAACTGAGGTCGACCTATGATTCTTCTGAGGTCGACCCATTCTCTTTTTAAACTAACTGAGGTCGACCGCTTTATGGAGTGGTCGACCGCGTATTGTTCATTTCGAAAATGTGACTAACGTGTATTCTTGCTTGTTTAATCGCAGGATGTTTGGCAAAAATAAGAAAAGAAAGTCACAAAAAGCTGCTGCCTCAAGTTCGGAATGGGAAGAGTTCAATCCCAAACTGTTCCAGACCAAGGATCAAAGTGAAAACTATGAAGAGAAGAGAATGCACAACCGCAGGGTGGCTCCGGGAAGGCCATTGACGACGGATGCGTATTCTCATTTCGAGAATTACGGGTTTCTGGGACCCTTCATCGAGCAAGAGTGGCTGAAGGTGATATCTCTCAATGTACCATACTACCCAAAACTGGTACAGTACTTCTACAACAACATCGTCTACGAGCGCAATGCAAATGGATCCATTCACGCATTCAAATCCTATGTGAATGGGGTGGCGATGCGCATCAGCAAGAATGTGTTGGCGCAAGTACTTGAGGCTCCAAACGAGGGGAAGAGAATCAATTCTTACGATGCTTGGAATGAAACGCATTTCACGAGAGCCAAGCAAATCCAGACAGTATGTGGTCTTGATGAAGAGGAAGATGCTCAGGGGCGCAATAGGCCATCGGGTAACCACCTGACAGTTCAAGCCAGAGTTCTTCACCACATGCTTTCCTACAACATTCTGCCAAAGGGTGGACATCGGGAGACAGTCACCTACTTCGACATGGAGCTCCTCACCAACCTACTGTTAAGCGAGAAGGTGAACTTGCCATACTTAATCTTTAACCACATGCTTACTGCTGCAGAGAGTTCAAACATGAATCTTCCCTATGGGATGATCCTCACTATGCTATTTGAGCATTTTAATGTGAATTTAAGTGAAGAGGTGGGGTTAAGAATCTCAAGGCAGGAGTTCTATACTGTTTCATCTCTGAAAAAGATGGGCTTTGAGCTGCGTAATGGTGAGTATGTCAGAGTAAACAATGGTCATGGTGGTGATGATGATGATGATGATGATGAGGGTGATGAAGGAGCTCGAGACGAGCCAATGGGGGAGGCACAGAGTTCAACTCCACCGATCACCTTACAGCGTGTGTGGGAGCGCATGGATGGCATGTACGAGTACATGGGCCAGATGTCCACCCAGATGACTGGCATGCACGACTACATGGGGCAAATGACCGCCCAGATGAGCACAATGCAGGTGACCGTGAATGAGATGCGAGATGAGTGGCGATCTTTCAGCGGAAGATACATGCATCCCACCACATCCGACCACCATCATGCTAGCACCACCAATGAAGAAAATGTGGATGAGAGAGAGGGGGGAGATGAGTAGGAGAAATGAGTTTTTATATTGTGTGTTTTAGTGGTCAACACGATTGTTGAGTGTTATTCTGTTGTTTTTTCTGTTTTATTTTTAGTTGTGAACAATTATGATTTCTGTTTTATTTTTAGTTGTTATGCTATGAATTGATGAGTCCTTGTTATTATTATGACTAATTATGATGGTTTGAAACATAATTTATACGATTAAAAGAACCACACAAATCGACATACATCAGCAAAAAAGACACGGGGCATAGGGTGACTTTCTTGTATTCGGTCGACCTCGTAACGGATTAGGTCGACCGCGAAACCAACACTTGATCTTCATTTTACGTCAATTAATTGGACACTTTGATAGAACACTTATCTTCTATCTGGTCGACCTCTTTCATCATCCAGTCGACCATTTTGTTAATGACTGCAATCAATTGGTCGACCTATATACCTTAGGTGGTCGACCATGTTGTTTCTGACGCCAACGAAATGGCCGACCCAGGTTTTATTCTGGTCGACCAAAAATATCAACTTAAACTAAGTGCGGTCGACCAGGTGGTCGTTGAGGTCGACCGCAATGCTTTCTCGTGCTGCCCAAATTAGTCGATTCGGTCGACCGCCTTCAGCAATAGGTCGACCGAAAAGTGCATGTCACCGTGACATGCATGTCATAGTAGGCATACCCTAAATTTTAATATAATTATTATAATAGGAAAAAATGAAACCAAAATTGGAAGGACCCCACCATTTCTCTCACCCTTTCCTCTCTTGGTCCTACCTTATTCTGACCTTGCACCCTTCCTTCTTCTTACCTTGCACCCCATTTTGGGGGTGAAGGAGAATAGTGAAATTACCGGCTAAATTGCAAGTTTGGTCACTAGAATTAAATCAAAAGTTCATGTTTGCCACTGAAACTAATTTATTCCATCCGTAGTCACTTAAATTAAGTTAATTGTCCAAGTTTGGTCACTAGCCGTTAGTCTCCGTTAACTTTTGCTGATGTGGCGGTCAACTCTTATAGTTGACCGTTAAATAAATGACATGAGAATTAAAATATAATAAAATTATTTTTTATTTTCCACTTAATTATTATAAAAATTTTAAAAAAATTCTAATTCCCTTAATAATTATTTTTCACCGACAGACCGTCGCCATTCCTCTCCACCGTCGCATCAATTCTTCCACCGCCCAACCTCTTCTCATCACTCGCGTTTCTCTTGCTAATCACCACCACCTCCACCTCATCATCATCGGCAGTTGGGACTCCCCTCCGCCGCTTGTACTATTCCCTTTTCACTCTCACACTCACTCACGCCTCTCTCAGCCTCCATCCCTTGAAAAACAACCAACCAAGTGAAGTCAGAATACCCCACAAGGCCACAACCACCACCATGTCCCTTCTCTTCTCATTACTAGCTTTCTCCTGCTATTCACCACCACCAAGATGCCTCCGTTATGCGTTTCCAGTTCCACGACTGCTTAGTCAATGTAAACACAAGACTATAAAGACTCTGTTTTTTTCCTCTGTAAACTGAGATTTGAAATTAATTGATCTATGTTTTTCTTTTTCTTGAATAGGGATGCGATGATTCAATGAGGATGGATGACACAGACAACATGCTTGGGGAAAAGCTCTCCCTCTCCAACATCGATTCCCTTCGAATCATCCTCTGTTTTTTTGTGTACTCTGTTTTCGTTCCATTCGCTGAATCAGACGGGTGGGCCCAACTGTGAAGTGAAGTGTTGTGTGCTTTGGTTTGGGATCGAGATTCTGGACATTGGGGCTCAGAACGAGGTCAATGCTTATATGGTTTGGGGTTTTGCTTCTTAGGAGCTGTGGTGGAGTTCTGAGATTTGAAACAAAAGGGATGATAACAAGGAAAGGAAGGTCGCGTGGGAAGGAGAAGAAGAGTTTGGTAATGGCTTCTTCGATGCAAATGCAGCCTCTTGTAACAATCTACTCTTTGTTTATTTATTGGCCCCGATTACAACCTCTTTGCTGAATTAAATAGTTAATCCAAAAACCACTACTCCTAAAAAATAAGCTAATAAAGACAATCCCTCTAACAATGCAATTCCCAAATATCCGCTCACTAACAGCACGCAACATGAAGCTGGGCCGGCTGTACAGCCTGATGGCGAGCCAAGCAGACGCCGACGCCATCATGTTGAGCCCTCGGGCCCTCATGGCCCTCTCAAGCTCCCACTCCATCGGCAAAGGCCGATGCTTTTCTATCCAGTTTCACCACTGCGATGGTATGATGAAGGAAGTTAGCGACGGAGACGATGAGGATGATGGACGGGCTCATGGGACGGTGGAGAGGAACGACGACGGTCTAGCGGTAAAAAATAATAATTAAAGGAATTTGGATTTTTTTAATAATTAGGTGGAAGATAAAAAATAATTATATTTTATTATTTTTTAATTGCCACGTCACTCATTTAACGGTCAATTATTAAGAGTTGACCGACACATCAGCAAAAGTTAACGGAGACTAACGGTTAGTGACCAAACTTGAACTGTTAATCTAATTTAAGTGACTGCGGATTGAATAAATTAATTTGAGTGGCAAACATGAATTTTTGAAGTAATTCTAGTGACCGAACTTACAATTTAGCCGAAATTACCCCCTCCAATGCTCTCCCCAACTTCTGTTACTTAACATCCAAATAAGTGCATTTTTATTGTGATCCCCCATTACCATCCAAAATACGCACCCCTCCATTTCCCCCTCCTCCTAAACAGAGTGTGAGTAAACAAGAAACAAAGGACAAGTCAAGGAGATGAAATTGCTGTGCGGGGGGAATCTTTAAAGCTTAAATTGATGATAGGAAAACAGATTCGAGGAGGTGGTTGATAGGGCAAAAGCGTAATGCCTTAATCCTATCTCGTAGTAATCCGGAAATTCCGGGTATCGTCTCTCAGGGACTGGTACAACCTTATGATCTACCGATTCTATGGAGCAAACTATAGGTGAAAAATGGTTTGGTTGATGAGATTATTAACTAATAGCAAAATAATTAAACTAATAAAGCAAAGTAAACTTGTCGGGAGAAATTCAATGGGAGAAAGTTCTGGGAGAAACACCGGGATTCACTACCTATCCTATCTAGATCAATTCACATATTCTAATCAATTTAATCCAACTCTCTGCAGCCAGGATATCACGAATGTGCTAGCTATCCCTGTCGGGAATTACTACGTTCTAAACAATTAATTCAAATCCTACTGTCGTAGCTCAATGAATTAACTATTTAGCCCGAAGAACGATATCCTATTTAAGACTGCATAGTACCTTATTTAATCCACTCTCGCTTCGATAAGTTACTATGTCACATGAAATAGGTTCAGTTATTAGGGTTTCACTGTCGCTAATAATCTAATTAACTACAAATCAATGTATTGGTGGCCAGTCAACACAAAGCATTAAGTAATCCCATGCGATAGAGATTGGAAGAAAAGAAATACGAATTAATCCATCAAGTCAAGAAATAGCTACATCCTATGGTGTTTCCCCCAGAAATCGGGGTTTAGTTCATGACGAAACTAAGATAAAACAATATGGTTTTGATCATCATGTTCTAAATCAACAATAAACAACTAGTTCGGTCTAGAAAATCTAACCAAATTAATCGCTCTCGTTGAATTCAGCTCAAACCGCCTTGGGAGAAGTGATTCGCCAAGTCGCCGCTGCTCCTCGTCCAACATCTTCGCTGCGCCCTGCTGCTTTTCTCCCCAAAAGAATTCGCCCCAAAAGAAAATCCGTCCCAAAATTCCTTCCCCCCAGCCTCGTGTTTCCTTTCCCCTTAAAAGTCTCTGGCCCAAAAAAATTCCCCTCGTCCCTTCTTTCCTCCAAAAGAGAATCCCCCGGTCCAAAATTAGTTCCCTTTCAATAATAGTCCCCTCCAATTCATTCCCTCTGCCCAAGTTTCCGCTGCCAAAAACCAATCCCGCTGGGCCTTGAGCCCAATTACATGTCCCAATTAATTCCTCCCACCAAAAACAATCCAACATCCTCCTAGCCAAGTGAGTATTCTACCAGTGATTCGAGCCCGATTTATTGCATGTGCACTCGCTTCTTTTTCGTGCTTTCTCTACTTGTAACAAATCAAACTCATGGCACTAGGCAGTAATGGGTTTTCAACCATTCCCGGGTTAGCGAGCCCTAAAATAGCACCAATTGACTTAAATATATCATGGGATAGTGACATAAAGTTCAAGAATCCGATATATTAAAGCCGATTATCAGTGGTTATCCACAGAGAATTAAGATCAAGATATGAAGTGAGAGAAGAAAGTCGGTACGACGATTACTAAGGATAGACGCATGAAGAGATAGGCCAAGTACGGTTAGGGGTCAGACTATCTAGTTGTAGTTTGTCATTTAGTTCATCCTATCAATGTAGTCAAAATCGCACTTTAAAACTTAAAAACTTACGATTTTACGTTTCTAGGTCACTAAAACGCTTCTACACAAAATCTCAGTTTTTATAACTTATGTAGTTAAAAACTCCTTTTTAAAACTTAAAAACTTACGATTTTACGCTTCTAGATCACCAAAACGTTTCTATGTAGAAACTCGCTTTTGACTACATTGCATCCTATCATTGAAAATAAACCCAAAAAGAACCCTAATAGCTAAATCCTTCGCCTGAAGCATGAAAAGTTCTTAATTTGTGAGCTACGGGTTTTCGACGGTGCATCCTTCTGCCACATGATGTAGAGCTCACACAAATAATTGAAATATCCATGTGGCAAAAGGATACACTGCTAAAAACCCATTATTTATCCAAATATTCAATTTCGCAATGCATAGGATCATATCCAAATTATTTTAAAATTGGTTGGTATAACTTATAAGTCACACTCATAATACACTTTCATAAGACCAATGAATCACATGATTAGAAACATACAATTCACATTGTCTTATTGATATTGGGTGGTTATTAATAAAAACAATTCTTTAAGACTGAATTGCTTGTATTTATACATGAATCAGCTATCCTCCTTGTTTATTTTCGGTTCAAACGTTCACTCAGCCAAGTATTAAGAAAAAATTTAGATAGAAGATTGAGATATTGGAAAGAAACAAATAGTCCAAATTAAAAATACATACACTTTCGAAAGGAGGAATTGAATGCCCAACTCAAAGCAAAAATGAAACAATGGTAAGATATGAACAAGATACAAAAGTAGAAGAAAGAGATAGGCTTCATCTCCTCTGTAACTTAAAGAAGCTCAAACCCGGTATATGTTAAGATTTAAGAACCAAAATCCAAAGGACAAACTATAACCATTGATCTTCAAACCTACCTCATCTCGCTCTCAACCTCTTTCTTCTAATTAAGGCCACAAGCCGTCTGTTTCTCTTTCAAAGGAACCATGCAACATGGATCCTCTCCATGCTTCCCTAATCTGTATTATGCATTGTTATGTCTGGTGCATGTTTTATTTGTGTTTAGACCTACTTTATTCATGGAATTTTTCTATGTTATTTAGCTGCAACTACCTTAGCTGTGTTTTCAAATATTTAATGCTTGTTTTAAGTTGATGTTTTGAAATATTCCATGTAATATACTCGTAGATCTATGTCGGATTAAAATTACAATTAGGTTTTTGCTGTTTCGGTGAAATCTTTTAAGATTTTGAAAGAATGGGTACAAAGGCTTGTTCTTTTTATTGAAAGATTAATGATATGAGCTTAGTTATAGACATAGTATATAACTTTGTTGTCTAGCTCACTAGATCTAGCTAAGCTAAGGATGGTTTGTTTGGCTTAACCATCATTACAAAATCTGAACTTTTTTTTGGGGTGGGGGGGGGGGGGGGGGGAGTAATTAATATTTTGCATGCTTAAATCTAAACTAAGGTGTAGATTGTACGGGTCTTCTCACTATAATAGTTATATTTTCTTAAAAATTTGGAGAGAGTGTCGCGAGACAAGGTCCTTACACTACTTATCAATCATGTGTAGCAAGGTACTTTTATCAAGCAGCTAAATGAGCATACAAACTGTAATTTTGAACTCCTTAGATTATTATTGTTTATATTATACAAATAATCTTTACTAGCAGTTTGTTTTGCGCTAAATGGTTCCATTGTGCTTGATCTTGAGTAAACAAATATCACTTCAAAATTGATGCTCTGTTGTTTGTGATCTGAATAAGTTTTCGAATCATTACTGCCCTGAAATACCACTTCCACACTCGGCATTGATCAAGTAGAAGTATCCAGGAAAGGGTTTATTTGATCAATACTGGAAGTTGATAAATCTTGAATGATGAAATGTTATTTTGTTTGCCAAGCAGTTGATAATGGCCCCACATTTTGTTCATCGTGAACTTCAAGGATTATTGAAGGTTTGTATATGCATATGTGTTTTTTCACTATTGTATCGGAAACCAAAAAAGCCTACATCTAGTTTATCTTTTGCACAATATTTCTTCAGGATTATAAAGCAATTATGTTTAATCTCAAACAAATAGATGTAGAAATCATTTCTTCTGTTGAAGAAGTAATGGATTTGCTTATTAGTACCTGCAACAAATAGAATTATAATCTTAACTCGAGAGAAAGAATCACTTACCAAAAGTTTTCATTTTTACTCACATTTGACAGTACAGTTTACATGGGGTCTTTCTGCATCTAAACTAGTCATATCTAATGATAATATGGGGATAAAAATGCATAGGGAACTCATAACAAACCATGAATCTAGTGAAAGAGTTGATTAAAATGCATTGGAAGGTATAATCCAAGTTGTAATTTCATATTTTCAATTAAAATGATAAGTGTAAGTAGAGTTTCCCGGTCTAGACGATTGATTGTGATGTTATGATTCATGTAAACGGACTAAAATTTCAATTTGTTAGTTAAGTGTTGTTGTAAAGCATGAAATTAGTGGCTCACAACTTTATGAATACCTTTTATTTCCAAAGCGCAGCAGCTTTTAGAACATTTTGGCTAGCGTATTCAATAATGTCAACTTCATTATTATTGTCTTCCATCTCTTGTGCAACAGCATCTGGGGCATCAACTGGATTTGCTTCTCCAGCAGTCAAAGGAACCACATGAGCTAGTCCTTCATAATTTTGATTCACCTCATTGTTGCCTTGCCTCCCATATGAACTAAATGACCTTTTGTTCATTTCCTTGACCCTCAAAATCACGGTCTTCTCTTTTCCTTGACACATTTTCTTTGACAATTTGGGCTTCCTTCTTTATTGGCTCGTGTTTATCTTTGTCTGTAAGTAGTTTTCTTGTTGCATTTTTTTAGAATCATGCTCCTTAATGGGGGGCAAGATTGTAATTCAAATTCAGTTTCTATACACGTCCAACTTTTATAGCAATTGAATTTGAAGCACAATCTCTTGTCCTAGGTTATGAGCAATACTCTAAAAATGCGACATGAAAACTATTTACAGCCTGAGATAAAAACGAGCACATGAAAAAGGAAGAAAAAATTAAGAAAAGAGAATAAAGAAAAAGATGAATGTGATTTTGAGGGTCAAAGGAAATAAAGAAAAATCACCTCTTTCTTTTTTTGATGAAATATGACCCATGTCCCATATGATTATCGTGATACAACTATTGCACATCGAATGAATATGTGTCAAAGGGAACCATGACCCATATGATTAGCTTGTAGTTAGTTAAGTGGAGCTGCTAAATCTTTTTCCATGGAGATGTAGGTTTAATTTCTAATATAAATGATTTTGCTCAATTTAATCAAAAATATTTTTCATGATAGTGTAATTTAATTATTATAGTCAAATTTAAGCTTTTGTTTATTATGAACTAGTTCAATTTAATCATTAATTATTTTTTTATGATATCCTAATTAAAGATTATTTTACGTAAAATTGCATCAATTAAACTTTTCAACTTGGATTGCAATAGATATGGAACATTTTGCTCCTTCTTTATGTAGTAATCCAACTTAAGATGTTTTTTTTCAATAGTCCAACTTACTCATAAAAAATTCTTTATGTAGTAATCCAATTTAAGATGTTTTTTTTCAATAGTCCAACTTACTCATAAAAAATATCATGATTGTTGAAATTAATTATTATATTGCAATTTAAGCTTTTGTTCCTTCCGTATGATTATATTAATTATATTTCAATTTAATCATTTAAAACTTATGTGATATTTCAATTTAATCATTAACATTTTTACATAAAATTGCATCATGAAACTTTTCAACTTGGATTTCAATATTTTATGAACGATTTTGGATATGTAATGAGTCAATTTTTTGTTTTCAAATTAATAGGGTAATTTATTCTTCTTATGCGAGATGTACTATTGGTTTTTTGTTGTTAATTAACTTATTTATAGTCAAAGTAATACAATATTTTCTTTTTCTTAAATGCTATTCCAAGTGTATCTAATTATTTTAAACTATGTCCCGGGGATTATGAGTTTATAATAATTTCAAAATTGTATTTTTTTAATGTTCATATATTATTTTTGTGTTTTTTTTTAGTTTTCACTTATATGCAATAAAAATTCAACCTTCTTAGCAATCAAATTTTGACTCTGCCCCTGTAGATATATATACATCCAGCTAAATTCTTATAGACAACCAAACATATATAACTCCTCTAAAAGAAAACAACAAAGTGTGATAAATATAATTCTTTTGAGCATATTTGTCAATATTCTTAAATCTAAAAAAAGAGTTCTAGAAGTGAGGGGAGAAGAATTAATTGGAAGAAAGGCACAGATCCTATCAACCATGTATATCCTTTACCCTTTTTCATTTCTAATTTTTGTTTTAAAAACATCTTTGTGAAAAAGAGGAGGGGGGGGGGGGGGGGGGGTGGGGATTATCTCAAATTCTTTATGTAGAACAATTCACACCCACCTCATAAGAAATACGTCATTGTCAACTATCGCGACTCAAATCGTAGTGTGTGTGTGTGGGGGGGGGGGGGGGGGGGGGGGGGGATTATCTCAAATTCTTTATGTAGAACAATTCAGACCTACCTCATAAGAAATCCTAGTTACATCATTGCCAACTATCGCGACTCAAATTGTAGTGCGCTGAACGAGATCGTTATCAACATCATGACTGGACATTCATTGTCTTGTTTAGCTCTCTGCCTTCAGCTTCATTCCTTCCAATCCGCGGCTACAATACCAAAACTAACTCTGGTATCTATTGTTCATCAATGGCAACTTGAAGAGATCTATCGAGAAAGAAGTGTTGTTCAGCATTCCTTCGAATCTTCTACGTCAATTGTTCAATGTGGTGATGCAAGTTCTAACTTTCTCTGGCAGCTCTCTCAATATTATCAAACTTTCTACAATAATGAGAGAAGACATATCTTTCAGCAAAAATAAAAACCAACAAACAGAACCAAAAAAGACAAAATGTCAAGGAAATCGAAATCCTACCAATTAGTTTAATCTCCTCACAATCACCCTTGACCAAAACCATCATTTTCTTTCTTCTCCGTCGCTCTATTCATAGTTATTTTGGGACTCTTGATTTCTTTTCTCGTTGATTTTTCTATAGAAGCCAAATCTTTGCAAACCGACAGAACTTTATTGGAATCAATGCACCAACGATAAATACATGATTCTGACATCAAGATTTGACCTCTACTAACAACCCTAACACCACATTCCTGGTTTTTTGCAATCATTAGCAAATAACTAGCTAACTTGACTCTTTACTTGAGCTGAAAGCTCTCAACCACTCTAACACTAGACTCAAGACCAAATTGCAACAATTTGAAAACATAAAGGACTTAAAGTAATTAAATCAAAATGACACAACAACATTGAAACTTCAAATGCCTTTATGCATGCTAAGACTTCTCTTGGTTCCAAGACATGAATCCTTCAGCCACAGGGACTCCATCTCCAACATATCCTCCACTGAACTAAAGTCGGTCTGGCTAGCTTCAATTCATCTTTAATGAGTCTCAACTTGCATGTTACATAAATAAGTTCTTCCTAATCACACACTTCAAATATGCTTCTCATTAGGTAAAATACATCCAGCTTCGAAGTTTGACCATCATGTTCCCAGCCTGCTCATACGTTATGCAATGTTCCCTATCCACCACACCTTCCTTTGCAAGCTCCCTCAAAAAGTGAAGAATGAACATCAGTATATTTGCTACTTCTATGAAGAACTGGATTCTTTGGAACTTCGATGTTGAAGCTATTATCACACGAATCTAAGTTGTTCCTTCTATGCTCCTCCCCCAGTTCGTTTGCTCTATAATTTTTCTTAACCACACTTTTTGAGCAACACAATATGAGGCATTAACAAACTTTGTTTCAGTGACCACTTCATTGCATCCCAAAGATCATTAGTAGTCTTCTTGTTAGTGACTGTCTTGAGAATAGTCTTGTCAATGTAACTGAAGAGATAATATTTAGCTTTTGAATCCTTCAGTTTCATGTCTTTCTAAACTCAAGTCCAGTTAGAGGTGACAAATAGATTGGATTCATGGATTGGTGAATTGACAACCTTAAGTCCTTAACAACTAACTAGCTAACTTGAATCTTTACTTGAGCTGAGAGCTCTCACCCACTCTCAAACACGACTCAAGACCAAATTGCAACATTTTCAAAACATAAAGTACTTAAAGTAATTAAACCAAAATGATATAACAACACTGAAACTTCAGATGCCCTTATGCATGCCAAGACTTCATTCTAGTTCCAGGACATGAATCCTTCGGCCACAGGGATTCCATCTCCAACATTTTCTTGTCATTCTCAATGAAACGGATTTCAAACTCTTGTATCCTCCGTGTCATTGAGAGAAGTGGAAGCTATGATTGTTGGAGGCATTTTAGTGCTTTGTAGTATTGGTGCTATAAAACGTTTACAGCCATTAGATCATATTCAAAATACATCAGCCATTAGATTTTATTTAGATTATTAATATATTGTTTTATTTGTGTATGGCCAACCGGTTGTACCGATTGTAAAGTTTCGAAACTCATTCTCTTATCCTTCTCCTCCCCATCGACAGAGCGCGAGTGAGGAATTCTAATCTCCGGCGACGCCAAATCCAACACCATCCTCTACACCAACGGCTGCTCCATCATCATTAGGTACCTCGACCAGCCCCTCAAATTCGATGTCTACGGTGAGCACGGCTACCATGTCACCTTCACTCGCTACTCCCCCCAACGACGAGTGGATTACATCCGCCGACACTTCCGGAACCATAAGATTCTGGGGTGTCCACAATAGCTTCGTCCTCCACAACGAGTTTTGCATCCTCTCCTGCCGAATCGACGATCTGCAATGGTCCCCTGATCAATTGAGGATCGTCGTCTCCGGCGACGGCAAGGGAAAATCCTTCGTACGTGATTTCGTGTGAGTTTCCCCCTCCCTTCCTCTTATCGTAATTTTACCCCCTTTTGCCTTCAAAACCTAATTTCGAATTTAACAAGTTATTGAGCGAGAAATTTGTATCCCGTATTTCTAAAGGTGGGATTCGGGTAGCACCGTGGGGGCATTTGACGGAAATTCAAAGCGAGTGTTGAGCTGTGCTTTCAAGCCGACGCGGCCTTCCGGATTGTTAGCTGCGGAGAGGATTTCATTGTGAATTTCTACGAAGGCCATCCATTTAAGTTCATGCACTCTCACAGGTTCAATTACTTTCAAATTCCTCTTTCATTTTTGTTTCTTGAAAATCCACATTTTCAAACGAGAGTTTTGTCATTCGTGGATGTAGGCAGCATTCCAACTTTGTGAATTGCGTCAGGTTTTCACCAGATGGAAGCAAGTGCATTACTGTGAGCTCTGACAAGAAAGGGTTGATCTACAATGGCAAGACTGGTGAAATCGTTGGAGAATTGTCCCATGAAGATGCTCATACGAGCAGCATATATGCCGTTAGTTGGAGCCCAGATAGTAAGCGGATCCAAACCACAATTTACTGACCAAGTTTTCACTGAACTTGATCCGATGATAAGATCTACCATCACCTAATCGTTATGCTATTTATCATCATCTAGGTGCTTACTGCTTTGGCCGATAAGTCTGTTTGTAAACCCACTTTATACTTGCTCTCCTTTAATGATATTCTTAGAGTCTTGACTTGGTAAGCCTTTTATTATAATATTTTCTTGACTACGGCTCTAACAGTAGCAATAATACAACAAAATGTCTCAATCCTGCTTTTGTTCATGCTATAGTGATTACAGATGTAAATAGTGTCGACAATGTAATAAAGATATTTGCAGTATCTAGGGGCGTTGGTGTTTTCGATGTGAGAGACATTGAATTAGAACTTGATAATGATATTAGGTCAAAAAGTTTGGTAAAGGTGAAGAGGAAGTCAGTTGATTGCGATGGTGCCCAGCTGTGTTTGGAAGTTTGAGAGGCAGGTGGAGACGACAATGCTTGGGAGTAGGAAGAATGAAGTTTCGTTGAGGTTGAATGTTCTGTAAGTCTTTGTAGCTCCCCATATTTCCTTTTATGTACCTTTTGGTATATCAATTCTAATTGCAATTTCTCTTTGCTTGAGGACTAGAGGAAAGAATGAGGAGTCTCCTCTCATCCATCTCCAGTGAATGAGTCATATCACAGTGAAGGAAAGGCCAGGTATGAGAGATTTTCTTTCTCTTCTTCACTTATGTACTTCACTGAATGTGACCAATTTTTTGCCACTTTGTGTTTAAAAGAGGTATAGTGGCTCGATCTGCGACTTGGGAGTGGTCTCTTGCTAAGTTTTTTTCAACCTCAAAGCCATAGCTCTTGGGCCCCAGTAGAATAGACTGGGAATGTTAAAACTGTTATGTTTATTGCTTGAGATTCTCAGTTAAGGATTGTTGTCGGGGTTTATGTTTCGCTTGATTTTTGTTATGTCACAACTTATCAATGACAAGTTCAGAATCGATGAGTCTCTTGACCACTATCGACGCTATCACTGGTTAGCTTTTGTGTCAATCATATTCGCCTGCCATCGTATCCTGAAATCAGGTTTGCCTTCGTCTTAGTGGTTGCTGATGTTTTGTTATATTTCAACCACCTAGAAGACTGTTGATAGGCTCTTGAACAAGGGTCAGAGAGGTGGATAAGACTTACTTTTAATACATATGCAAACTTGTATGCTACTTAGTCTCCATTTGATTTCCCTGGAAGCAGTGAGATTTTGTGTTTTGTGAAATATGCTTTTAGGTACAAACTTATGGTCCTTACATTGATATTTTATAATTGGATTGGGATTTTGTAGGGCATGGATCGATGGAGCGGCCGTGACATGAACTTCATGAATGGCTAGAAAGAAGAAGATTATGCTGAGTACCTAGGGTAATCTCTTCTTCTCGGTCTATGCAGCTTAGTATCATCCTTAACCAACCAATTAACGACTAGGAATATGGTTTAGTGGCAAGGGATATTAATGGAGATTTCTTCCTATAGAGTTTATAGCAACTTGTGAGTTTTCTTTTTGCAATGATGATGTGTTAGTTATGTCTCTTTTACTGATAATCCTTAGATCAGGTTCATACGTACGATTGACTTATCATGAAGACAAATGCAGTAGGCAGTGATGCTGAATCGATTTTCATTTTACTTCGTGTCGTGTTCCAACTGTACGTCTTCACTGAAACTCTCTATGTGTGGTTGGTTTAATACTTACTGGAATCCTACTGAGAGAGTTCGGTTCTTGGGGTTTGATGGAAAAGTGGATTAGAAAAACACATAAGAATTCTTAAATCTCTTAAAATCAGTTAGGAACGTTAAGTCAAAAGCTAAACTACTTCAAAACCTTGGTTTGTTTTGGTTTCATTTCAACCGACCAATTAATGTATGAATACCAAACCGAGCCAGAATTGAATCGCCCGAGTTACATTTGAATGCCAGTTAGTAGATTTGTTGTTTCATTGGGTTAAGTGGTTAACCATGCAAGTGTACTTGGGGGTAGGAACTACCAGTGCCGTTGAAGGACAAGTATGGATGCATCAGCTTGGGCTTGGTTTCTACCATGTGCTTCCATTATCTCACAAAGAGAGCTGTTACCTTGTGTTCTCTTCTATTGGTCTAGTTCTATTCAATCACACGACAGACAGTTGCCTTCAACGGTACTAGTTGTCTTTAAAGTAATGCTTAAAATTTTGTCGGTATAGTTCTTATGATCATACTTGATAATTCCATATATTATCTGCTCATTATGTATTATGCCAATATGGCTATCCTTAATGCTTCTTGAAATCTAACTTCGGTTGGTTGTCAGTAGGTACCAGTTACCAGAATAATCCCACTTTGTTGAGATGGGATTCTGAATTCTTGGCTGCAACTTATTATGTAGCATATAGTAGCTGGCTTGGAAGGGTTCATGAAGAAATGGGAAGGCATAAGAGATTCAACAATGATCTCAAAAGTGTCAAAATTTTTGCATAGTTGCAAGTGTTAATGTATGGTTTGCTGCAAAGTCCAAAATTTGCAGACTAAAATTATTCAACACTGCAAAATTAAGAAGGAAGCTTGGAGTTTATGAAGGTCTTGGTGCCATCTCTTGACTTATGACGGTGGCAGTTTAATTGAAGTTGCTGTTGTCATTTGTTAAATGCTTGGGGTGAAGAGATGTTGTTGAAAATGAAGGCGTTGTGAAAGTTGAAGCAAATGATCCAAGCACAACATGTAATGATGGTGTTCATCTTGAAAGAACATTATGTCTCAACTTGTCATGTTTGTTTTCTCGAAGTTAGTATCTAGTCACATTGAATGGATCTATGTAATGCTGGTGTCTAGTTTTAGAAAACATTACGAATCATCTTTTTCATAAGTTTGAAGTTCTGGAAAACAGACCATTAAGTTTGAAACACCATTATAATAAGTACTGAAAATCTGACACCTCATACTGGTAATCTCACGACCGTAAAATACTCCAGTGAGATGTAAAAAACAGTGCTTCATTCCTCAGGCAAATCTCACGGCCGTGAGATGTCTCGTGAGATGCAAAGAGAAGTTTTCACTATCCCGAGAAATTTCATGGCTTCTACTTGACATTCTCACGCTCGTGAAAATCTCACGTGAAATTGAAACACACCGCTGCCACTCAAACGTTCACACAACTCATTCTGTCAAAATAACGGTCGTGGAATTAAGATGTACCTCCACTTTCTAGAGTTGTATCTTTACACTATGGTACAACTTTAAGTTGTACCTACACTTTCTAACAAATCTCTCTATGGTACAACTAAAAATTATACCTATACTTGGTGGTACAACCTTATGTTGTACCTGCACTTTCTAAAAATCTTTCTATTGTACAATCCAAACTTGTACCTATACTTGTGGTACAACTTTAAGTTGTACCTTCACTTTCTAACAAATCCCTCTATGGTACAACTCAAAATTGTACCTACACTTTCACAAATGAGGTCAATTTAGTGATGACAATGGGGTGGAACAGGGAGAGTACCTCAATACATATTCTTGTCCCGCACTAAACGCAACTCAGGTTGGGTAATACATGCACGAGTATAGGACGAGCAAGTCGGCCTATCCTTATATGTTATTTGAAGAAAAAATGTTGATATTCAATTCTCCTACAAGAAGACGAAGAGAATACTTCATAATGAATCACAGATATAGTAAAAGGAGCAATTTGGTCTAAATATTTGAAAGTTAGTTTAAACCTTATTTGGGATGAAAATATGATTTTAGAAAGGTCAAAAGAGGAGAAATTATAAGAGAGTGTTATGAGATCCATAATAACTTTCTCCTAGCAACTTGATTTATTGGAACCAACTAGTTTATAACATGGTATCAGAGCTGGTTTGTCCTTGTGGTCACGTGTTCAAGTCCTCACGACCCCCAATATTAACCGTTGTCTTCAAGCGCATGGTATGGCGGGTCTATACAAACTTCATGCCCATATGTTGACTTTCGTTTGAGGGGCCGCGTAAGGAAGTGATTAAGTACCATACATGGGCCTCTCTCAACAACTCGAGTTATTGGGACCAGTTGGTTTATGACATGGTATCAGAGCCTGGCTTGGCCAAGTGGTCGTGTGTTCAAATCTCCATGATCCCCAATATTAACAGTTGATTAAAGTACAAGGTATGGTGATCGTCTGTGCAAACTAAAAGTCCATGGGTTGGCTTTCGTTTGAGGGGCGTGTAAGAGAGTGTTATAAGATCCACAATGACCTCCTCCCAACAACTCGAGTTATTGGAACCTACTGGTTTATGACATGGTATCAGAGTCGGTTTGTCCATTGAGGTCATGTGTTCAAGTTCTCACGACCCCCAATATTAACCGTTGTCTTCAAGCACATGATATGGCAGGCCTGTGCAAACTTCAAGCTCATAAGTGGGCTTTCGTTTGAGGGGTCGTGTAAGAAAGTAGTTAAGTACCCATACATGGGCCCACTACAACAAATTCGGCCTATTATGACGAGGCAATTTTGTTATATTAGATACCCATTTTGTCATATTAGGTATAATATGACAAAAGGTGTTGTCACAAAGGTTTGTCATTTTATCGCCGTCAGGATAGGTCAAATGTGACAAAAATTTAAAACAAGGTTGTCACATTTGCTTTCAGTATAGCTGAGATTCTGGGTTGTCTATTATGAAAAACGAAGATGTTATG